ATTATTATTGTTGTTATTAGTGTTATTATCATTATTATTATTAGTATTTTATTATAGTTATCAATCTGTCACTCACCCTCTTCCTCATCTTAGTCTGTGACTTGATATCCTTGCTGATACGCTCACCGGGCACCTGCGCTGACCACAAGGTCAGAATGATAACCAAATACGCCACACCCATTATGAGGCAAGGCAGAAAGAAGAGCGCCACACAGATGAACATGTAGTAGAAGCGGCGGGCCGGACTCTCGGACACTATCTGGCCGTCAGAGTTTGTGTACACATACAGCGGCCACTGGTCATCACACCAGGTCTCTGTCACGTCAAGCCACTGGACCTGTCCAGGAAAAAAAACGGTTGGCTTTGGATTTTTATCTTTTTTTTATCGCTCTTTCGTTATGTCGGTTAAAGACTGTTTACCGTCATGTAAACAGAGGTCTGATGGTAAGGAGGCAGTAATTTAAGAGCATTCCGATTACGTCTTAGCAGGCCAGACCAATCGACTGGGCTGAGATGTTTTGTTGTTGTTGTTGTTGTTTAGTAAGAGTTTTACTGCGCTCTCAAATGCATACTGTCATATGAGCGAACTAAACACAAGTTGGTTGCATTCACAACCTTTTTCAGCACGTCTTGATTTTGGTAAATAAAATGTTAAAAATTCCTGGTAAAAATCTCATTCTTAAGATGACAATTTAAATAATATTAAAATGACTGTTTTTACAATTTATTGTAAAGGCCAATGGCCTTTATAAAATCGAGAATTCTATTGGGTTAAAGGACGGATAAGTTATTTCAATCTTTTAATTTTAAGCAGTTAAAAAGCATCTCCATTGAAACACTGTGCTACCAAGTCCAACCATGGAGAATAATCAAAGTCATCAAAAAGCAAAATCAGCGCCTGTGAATTGAGATGCCTAAAAAGAACTAAGAACACCATAAGAAGAGACAGGGTTAGAAACAGGGCTGTCAGAGAACATGTTAGCTCAACAACTCCCTACTTGCAATACATAGATAAACAACAAGTTAATTGGACATCTGTCAAAATTACCTCAAGACTACGACCAGACAGTATAGCAGCGACAGCATACAACCAGAAATCAGACACCCCCCCAAAAAAACCCCACAAACAAACAAAACCCCCCCAAAAAACCCAGAGGAATTAGGGCAGGCCCAGGAAAAGATGGACAGACAGGGTCAAAGAAACGTTAGTCAAAAATAGTATAACCATACAACAGGCAATGCAATAAAGACGCTTTCTTCTCCCCTCGACAACGACCCCAAAACAAACAACTCAAAATACACTCTCAACTGACTGATTAATGAATGTCAGGTGAGGGGTTAAAACAAACGAAACAAAATATGAAAACAAGGAAAGCAGACACCTTTAACTTCAAATGACAGTGAACAAAACCAATGAGACCCACGACTTGGTGGAATCAGACACCCCAAGCCCAAGGGGTTCTGCAGTGTACAAACACACACACACACACACACACACACACACACACATG